CTAACTTGTCATTTTATTAGCTCTGTCTATCATGTGCAGGTCACTGAGCCTGTTTTCTCGTATATAAAATGGAAGAAATGACATCAACTTGGTTTATCTCAGAGATAATTATGGAAAAGCCCTTTGGGAAGATCTGAAGTGCTGTACAAATGAGTACATTGAATTCTCCTCAGAATGTCTGTGCTGTTAGTATTTTTACTTACTTGAGGCCCCCTGGTCAGGTGGGACATTTTCTAAGTGTATTTATGTGAAAGTATAATGGTTATTAAACTTCTACTACTTTTCAATTACATACCCAGTGTGTCTGATTGTTTTGCACCTGAAATCAAGCTGCTATGCAAATCTCATCAGTTGTATACAAGTGGGAGAACCAATGGTGGAAAATCTGTTATGGTAATACTCCAACCTATTTGCTTAAATAGACGCAGAGTGAAAAGCAACCACGTGAAGAGAAGCAAACGAAAGGAGATGAGTCTCATTAACAGGGAAGAGCTAGAATACATGCACTCAACCATAGCACCCCCCATTTCCCCCCTTTTCAATTATAATTCTCAGGAGAAGACATTACACTTAGATAGCTCTAAAAGACTGGTGTGGAGAGGTGCAGGCTGACTTCACAGTGTGGGGAACTCAACACGCCTAAGTTCAAGGTCTCCTTAACTAAATTGGAGACACTGACAAAGTATGAAAATCTTTGGAGATGCCATTTAAAACTTTTCTGGCCAGTTTCCTTACTTTACAATCACAGCTCATATGGTACAATAATAATTTCAGTGAAATCTTCTAACTTTTAGAAAAGGCTGGGCTGGAGTCAGTTTCTTGTGGGGACCGAAAAGAAGTGCAAAAGTGGTCATTTTTCTCAACAAACGGGATGAACCACCTACGCAGCCCCGACATTACAATTTATCCAGAACTCTTTTAGTTTTGTAATTAGCAAAGCATTAAGGAGTGCTTTGCAACATATTTTCTTTATGACAAAATTTTGTAGCTATAATTACTGGGGGATTCCATTCATTTTTTAAAAAGCAATTAAAAAAAGCTACGTAGTATTTTTCAGCTACTCTCATTCAAGAGCCATTTGTGGAGAGCATGCCAAGGGTACACCAGGAGAGGATGATGATTGTCTTCACATCAACGTAATTGAGGGAGACAAAGCTCTGCTTGGCTAGGGGACCTGGAGCAAGTTGCCCAGTTGTCCCTCCAGAATTCCAAGTATCATTTTGACTCCTCCCTCTCCTCACCCACCCCGACCCACATCACCTCTCCTTCGCTGCAACTACTACAGTGACCTTGGACCACCCGCTGTCCTGCCTCACTGCACAGCAGCCCTACCTGGTTTTCTGGCTCCAGTCTTGCTCTTCCCATCTCCTCCCACCACTGAGACTGAAGAGAAAACCGTGACTGCCTCACTCTGCTGCTAACACTTCCCTGTCACTGCCCACGTAGCCTGGATGTGACAGGGGTCTTAGGTCTTTTCACGTGTAAGATGATGAGAAGACAACTTTGTGGATTACTATGAGATTTAACTAGCATAATGTAAATAAAACCATTTGTCTAAATGAAAAGAAACTACAAATGTAAGAAGTTATTAAAGGAAATTTAATTTATCAGACAATTCAGTTATTAAGTAGTTAAATATAATTACTTGAGTAACTAAATTGAGTTAATGAATTATGTCAGAGGTTTTGTGGATTTATTCAAGCTGTGATGATGAAGTGGTGATACTGATTTTTCTGTAGACTACACATTAGAGGTTATGTCCAAATTAGTGCTCAGGTGGGAACTGTGCCTGTTACACAGCAGGCAGTCACTAACGTCTAATAGTGTGCCTATCATCCCACAACGAATTTGGCTTTTTATAGATAAAGCTATGCAGCCCTGATTCTTTTTCTCGGAACTCTATCAGGCTACAAATCTATGCCTTTTCAAAAGATGTGTCTAACAGTGTTTCTCGTCTTTAGAGAAAACCAAAATGAAATGCCAACACATCTGTGGATGCTTTTCAGGAGTAGAAATCCTCCAAACAGAATAATGTGTTCTAAGTAAAGACCCAACAGTAATAAATGTGATAACCAGTTCACAGCTGGTGAGGAATCACAGCTGTGTACTAGGAACTGGTTGGAGTGTTATTAATCCCAGAGACAATCCTGAGTCATCAGAGATGAGTTCTCTGCCCCTGGATGAAATGAAACCAGAGATGTAATAAGAATTCAATAGAAATAGAAGCCTAGGACCAAATTTTCTCAGAAAGAGAATTAATAAATAATGAAAATAGGAAGTGCAGAAAATGTCAGGATATCTGGAAAAGTTACCACTGCTGAATTATATCACAGCTGCATTGGACTTCAATAAGGCGCGATTATGAGACCAGGAAAAAGATAACACAGTCGATGTTACTAACACATAGCAAGTGTTCCCTAAATATTTGCAGATTAAATTAATTAACAAAGAAGATTTAGGTGCTCCACTATGGCTACTATTATTAATTAAAAATCTTTTAGTATTAGTGCTATGGAAAATAATCAGTATTATAATTTCTCCCAATGAACTTATATAATAGAGTATTCATATATGCTCCATAGTAATGTCCTATGAAACACAATTAGCACATTTCACAATCCTTCTCCAAGAACAGTCTTTGAAATAGACCATTTCCTAATGTCTAACCAGATTGTGCAGGAGTTCTGAGATACTGGGACTTGTAATTTTATGCTAATGTTTGTAGACTACACAGGAAAGCAGGCATGATAAATACATGACACAATGGTCACTACTCTCCCTCCAGATCTCATAACAGACATCAATCATTAGTCGTGGCACTCTTTCTACTTAGCCTGAAATTTGTCCTCAATGTCAATTTCAACATAGTATTTATTCTACACAGGCCCTGTTATTCCCTTCCTATATTCATTTAACAAATATTACTGAATTGTTACTATGTGTCAGGCACCGTACCAGGGAGGCACATCGCAGATTAAAGTCATTTAAACAGACCTGGACCTTGCCCTCTTAGGGCTGAGGTTAACAATTGATTTGACACCCAAAGTTATGGTTGCTTGCCAGATCCGCTTTGCGGTATAGTTGAAATGGAAATAATTCTAAGTAGCTAAGTTTCTCCTCTATTATCAAAGGGGCCTGAAGAAGTTGGGTTTTGCATGCCCTAACTACTGGCTCCATAACCCACGAGGTCTGTTGAACAGTATAGGAGTTAAAGATGAAAAGAGCTGAACGATACTTTTTGGAGAGAGAGAGAGAAAGAGAGATGACCACCTTTTACTTATTTAAGTATTTNGCAGTATAGGAGTTAAAGATGAAAAGAGCTGAACGTTACTTTTTGGAGAGAGAGAGAGAGAAAGAGAGATGACCACCTTTTACTTATTTAAGTATTTGATTTGCAAGTCAGATTCTGATAAGCCTATAGGAGATAATTTTATGAAAATTTTAACATGAATGAATTTTATCCCACTCCCCTAGAAAGACAGGGATAAAATGTTTTTTCCTCCACAAGTGCCAGAAGAAGCGTACCCTACCATGTGGAAGCAGAGAAAGGGAACCGAAGTCTGCATATATACCTTTTCCCTCCACTGTCAAACTTTGTGTCTGCTTTCTCCCTGGACTGTGAAAGCGCATCTCCGAAAGCCTCCCCTCGATCCCGCACCTTCTCTGCCCAGCCTGGCCTCCGCCTGTCACTGTCACTGTCGTCACCGCCCTTCCTGCCTGTAGCAGTGGCTCACTCCCTCGGCAAAGATCCCTGGCCTACTTCCTCATATTTTTAGGTGGGATGATTGCATTCCTACGGTGGCAAAATACTAGGAAGTTGTTCTCTCCTCCAGTTATCTACCCCCCTGGAAAAGTACAAAAGGTAAAAACAGGAGTTTGGAAGGGCAGGGACAGAAGAGTGTCTCGGTCTAAGTCAGGCTGATGAGAGATAAAAAGATATTATGGCCAATATCACACGACTGTTCTGCTGTCTCCGAAGACTAATCCTGAACTTGCTAATTACATATTATGCTCCAGTAAAACATTGTCTAATTGCCTTATTTCAAAAATTCAAAAAGATTTCCACCAAAACGTAATTCTACAGTATTGCCTCCAAAGCAAGGATCCAGTTCTTTAACTCTCCCAATAATACATGATGTGTATTTAGGCTACTGATGTGGATGGTTGGCTGTTTTGCTTTGCTTTTTAATTTGCTTTTGTGCCTAAGGTGCCTACTAATTTTGCTTTATGTTCTCTAGAGCCTCATTTTAAAAAGAATTCTTGCCAAGGAGGAACAAAACAACAGGCCCCCTTCGTTTTGCTTCCTCAGGGTCCATTTCTCCCGTCAATTTGTATTTTTTCAAGGATTTTGCAATTCTTACCTCTGAATATTACTTTATTTTTTATTCTCTAAGGAAAAATGGTACCATAAAAATTATAACTGAAAAATGATTCATTTTTACCTTTTGCACTTTTCCCTACATAACGGCATATGAGCTCTTATATCATTACACTTGCTTAAGGAACATGAAATCATACAGCATTGCCAACCGGAACCCGTTTTGTAGCATTCAAGAGACAATTAGGAGCATTATATTTATGAAGTGAGTAGAAAGAACATTTTATAATTCTAACGTGCAAGAGTGCGCAGTTGTGTTACGAGACAAAAAGTCTTGTGTTCTAGTCTGGACTTCTCGGTAATCAAGAGATAGAACTAAAACTTTGTCATTCATTTATTCATACAACTATGTGCCAGACACAGTTCTGTTTTGTGAACAAAATAGACAAGAATCCCCTCCCTTCAGAGAGCATACAACTGGTCCATGAAAATTCTAGTTGAAATGGACACTCAGGAAGGGCAGTAAAAATGCATTCCAAAAATTTCTACAGCCAGGCTTGAACCTCTCTCCTGGGCCCTTTCTTTCCCACCCTAGGAAAGCCCCCTTTCCAGTGGGTCAGGGGAGGTTTAATGACCTTTTAAGAAGTTATAAAAAGCAGAATGTAGAAAATGGAAGTCTTACCATGAATAAATATGTAGATTGTGGATTGTGCCTGCTTGTTCCTCCAAGCAGGAGACAGATATTTGCAGCTGTAGTAGCCCGTGTGGTTTGCCTGGGCTGCGGTCAAGGTCAGAGTGCTGCAGAACTGTTTGCCGTCCCTTCCACAGGCAGACTTAGTTATGTTCAGCCTTTCCCTTTCCTTACTCACTGTCTTGGGCAAAGACCATGAGTGGTCTGCTTTCCCCCTACAATCACAGATAAGAAAATAAAATATAATTAGGGCTGGGGCCAGCTCCAAGGCACTCATCTCATTAGGAAGCACTATTCTCAGATCCTTTCTTAAGTGTAGTCATGTTTTTCTTTACAGAAAAGCAACACATTTAGAAAAGTTTTTAAACAACTCAGAGTAAAGACCCAAAAATGTGCAGGGCACCCCTTCCCCTGTTTGCCTCGAGCGAGTGAGTCTCTTCTGGGGGCGAATTACCTCCATGTGAAGCAGGACATGTTTGCACTCTGCAAATCGCAAGAGGCCACTGAAGTCTCTGCCTTCCTACTCTGAGAGCTGACCTTTCTACTTCACTTTAGGAAGGGCAGCCAGATTGTCCCCAAATCAACAGTCACTTACCTGCATTCGATATGCAGCGTCTTGCCTGCTTGTATGACATGCTGGGTGCCTTTAAAATTCAGCTCAGGACCTTTAAATTTTGAACCTGAACTAGATCCTGGAAAATAAATTTTTGAAATGTATTATTTGCAAATTGCCCTCTCATCTTTTTTTAAAAGTTATATCTTTCCATAAAGGTGACTTTTTATCTTTACCTTACTATCATATGCAGAAAAGTACACTTAATACAAATTTCTCTTAATTCACTACTTTTTTCTAGTCCAAGTCAGACTCATGGATATTATATATCCCCTTATACCAAATGGTCTAAAAAATATCCAAAAGCCCATTAATTTAGAATTAATAGATTCATATGTGGTTCTGAATTCAATTACATTAAGATTACATAGTGTGGATCAAAAGGGGGCCACATGCTAAACCTGACAAGCTCAGGGGAGGCCTGCGTGGCTGCCTTATAAACTCAGAGACCTAAAGTAACCACAGAGGACGTTCTGGACATCAAAATTCCTAACTAAAAGTGGGTCATGGAGGGTCATGTCCTAGGCCTGTAACTTCCTTGACACAGGTCAATCTTAACCTTAAGTGAACCTGTCTACTGTTTTTTGGCATCTAATAATGTACCTTTGAAAGGTCAGAGTAGCCTCCCTTTCCAGACCCCTCAGGACACACCCACTGCACCAGAGCAGGAGACCACACAGCCCCTCATTGTTATCATTGTCTAGTTCCCCAAATACCATCTTTACGTGCTGTTAATGTTCATTATTAACTATCCTGTACCCACCAATGTAACAGAAGTGTTTATCTCCATTTGACTTTTCATCCAATCCCAAAGATTTCCCCACTTTGCTTTTTCCAGCCCCTTAATCTACCACTGGTAGATTTCATGTAACCACCTTATGTCTCCCCCTTTGAATGTACTGTTTAAAATAAGCTGCAAAGCTGCCATTCTCCAGAGCATTTTCTCAATCCATTAAGATTTTGCTTCCTAGCAGTTGTTGTCACTTTGGTTCAAATAAACTCATAAAAATTCTCTATAGGTTTGGATATTTCTTATGTAGACAGTATAACTTATTAAAATCTCTCAGGATAAAATGTCAATGTCATCCAAAATACGGTTCTAATACCAGTGTGGTCAACTGTATGTATGGCCTGCCTTTTTTCTCGATACAAAGCTTTCAAATTGTCCTAGATTCTAGACAGAGCTCAGTCATTAGTCAAGCCATAGTATTTTGAGTGAGTCATTTTCTTTATGAACTAGTTTCCTTATTTGGAAAACTAATTCTAGAACCAAAATCAGTTTTAGCCATTTGGTTTGTCTTACATAATCTCTAAGTTCCCTCTGCCGTTGAACAGAAAAAAGGGAACTGCTCACTTCTACGTGACATTTCAAGCATATCTCATGGGGATTGTTGTAAGACAATAAAATAAACTCTGCAAAAGTGCTTTAAAATCTACACATATCTATACCACACAATAGTAGTACCCATTCTATTGACTGGCTGTGAGAGACTAGACAAGTCACTCTTCTCCCTACAACTCAGTTCTCTCATCTGGAAAATGAGAGCCTGGACTGATAACCTTGGCTCTCTGACTTTTCTATGACCAGCAGTCCTTGTTTCAAGGCTTCTTGAGTCACTGATACTACAGAGGTTGATTCTCTCCTGAAGCTCTGATGGGGCTCAGTAAAGATCTCTCCACCTCCTTCTGTGCCGCCCCCCCCCCCC